CCCCAAAACCCCAAAACCCCAAAACCCCGCTAGCATATTTCTAAAAGTATGGAGGGAATTATGAAATTAAAATTATGGTTAATAAATGAGTCAGTATTTGCATATGTGACCACACCCAGCTGGGCAAGTGTTATTATCCTTTAGCCATTTTAGCATATGATTGTAATGCCCACCATGAGAGCAACCCTAACACCACACATAGAGTGTCTTGACTGGCACATTACAAATACTGCATCTTGAGTATACCTTCTTACATTTGGGGTTTGAACATTGTGTTGAATTACTCTACTCCTCCGATGTCCCACAGAACTGACACAGAGTCGATATTACGAACCCTTTGTCTTTCTAAGATTTATACATTAATATATGGATCCTTACTTTATATTTCTTATCAATTATTGGTAGATTAGGTCCAAATTAAATAATTTCCCTGGCTTAAGCAAACATCTGCAGATTTCTCAAAAGCTCTAAGTATGTGATTATAACTCTGCTTAGGTAATTTTTGAATTGGTCTTAAGTCAATAGATTGTAGAATGCTAGAGAAATAAATGCTGATGTCTAGATGTCGCCATTGTTTGCATAACTCTCAATGGTGTCTGCTACTGTTTTCTAGACTAAATCTTAAATCCATTTATTCATGATTGGTTCTAAAGCATTAAAAGCATTTATACTTACACTTCCTTTAGCCTTAAGTTGGCTGAACTGGCTTTGCTAACTTTCCCTACTTCTTTTTGTTTAGGTGATGATTGTATTCTTATTCTCTCAATGGAATTTGCCTTTGAGGCGTACATCCAAATACGACATTAAATTTCATATCAGCCTCACCATTATTGTTAGTATTGAAAAGTAGCCCTAAATTTTGATAGGTGAAAATATTAGGTTGGACTTCCTTCTTCTTATTCCTCTTTGAGCTAGATGATGATTGCCTTCTAAGTTTCATATTCTACTGAGATTAGTCTGAAAATCCCATTAGATTTTATAGTGCTGCAACATCTAAAATTGTATTAGGCGATTTTTTTAGATCTACCCCAAATGCATCTTAATTTTACTGAGCTTCTTCATCTTCCTCTACTATTTCTTCAAACATCTGTACTTCTATATTATCATTCTCAAATATCTTCTTTCCTCTGGCATCAACCCTATATTCTGCGGATTTGGCATCTATCAAACCCCCTTCAATATCATTTGGGATAAGGGTATTTGTAACAATTTAGTTGTTCTTATTTTTCTTTTTTTTTGTCTTCTTCTATTTTTGCTATGTTTCTTTTTCCTCCTATGCCCCAGCTGCTTCCACCTCACGCTTTATCTTTTGTTCTTAAATATATTGAAGTTTGTTACTTGCAGCTTGCTAAATACTAGTATTAATACTTTTGAGTTCGGTTGCTAAGTCTCTCAGAGATTGCCAAGTAAGCGAAACATCATTCATTCCATATGATTACGCCACTCGGGAATTACTGAGGCAAATATCCTCTAAATCATTTTGTTTATCATCACTGCATCTAAATTTAAGCTCTAAGCTTAAACTCTCAAAGTTAGAAGAGAAGTCATCATGAGGCTCATCAGATCTTGTGGTGAGTTTAGAGAATATTCTCAAATCCTCAAACTTGCTACTTTCCTTATAATCACCTTGGACTGATTTGAGGGTCTTAGTCTGCTAATTCCCGCCCTGTTTTTTAGCTCTCTACATCTGATTTTACTGCTGCTGGATTTATAAGACCTCTTCAATATTAGATTCTTCATCAAGTGTATTAAGAAATACATCAGGATCTCTAGAAATAATCCTATCATTTATAATTGCTAATTCATTGAGCAAGTTGTAATCAATAGCTGTAGTGCATAACCTTTCATAAGGTCTGATTGTAGAAGAAATATGCTAAATATTAACTGTCTATTAATTTGTTGTTAAGAGATACTCATTTGGAACAAGCCATTCAAAGTCTAGGATTGACTCTTTCTAGCACTTATAGATGTACTGCTGCAGGTAAGGCTTCTTACAATGCCATATGTTTACACTTGATTGATCAGCTGAGTTATTATTAAGAGAAGCTAATTGCAAATTAAGCCCTGGAACCCACTAACACTTTGTAATTGACTAAGGAGTAAGAATTTGGAAAAGGGTATTTGAGGATGTTATTGATGAATTACCATCCCTTAGATTCCAGATCTTAACATATTTATCTACAGAGCCACTCATAAGTATGTCTTCTAAGTTAGGATGCCAGTCTAGACAGAGGACTTATTTCAAATGTGACTGGAATGAGAACTTAGGGGCTTAAGTCATTCTTAAATCCCAAATGTCAATAGTACCATCACCTTGACCAGCTGCAAATTAATACTGTCTCTTTGGATTGAATTACACAAAGTTAACTTGATCATCTCTACTCTTCATTCTTTGCATTGTTATCACGCTTGATTCCATCTTGATGTCCCAGAGCTTTATCAACGTGTCTGTTGACCCAGATATAAATTGTGTCTAGTTGAATGGATCCCAGGACAACTTATTTTGCTTTGTATGCTCCTTAACTATAATTCGTAAATCAGTAAATATAATTTATCATACAAGGCTTTTTAATTTGTAAGCCGGTCTCAATATCCCAGACATTGATTGAATTATTGAAGCTTGACGTAATCACATATTTTTCATTCACTATAATGCAATTAATTTATGATTAAAGAAATATAAATATAGCTTCAATTTACATTGATTCCATTAAATATCTTTAGCTCCATAATCAAGGTTACTTTTCTGTCTGGAATGTAAATTCTTTGCAATTTTCATATTTAGATCCTCGTCAATTGAGATTATTTTCAAGACTATAAATATTTATGATTAATTAGCAATAAGGAATTAAGTTACCATCTCTACCACCAGCCATTAAGAGTTTCTTTGAGGGTGATACTCCCAGTACCTAGAATTATTTAGACCATATTTTTTACCTTGATTTGACCTTTAAGATCAATTTGGATCATTTACTACTTGTCTTTGATGTTTTTCCCAAAATTTTCCATTTATAACTTAATAAATAATATTATATCTAGCAATTCAATTATGATCATTTTTAGATTACTTATTGCTTGGGGTTTTGGGGTTTTGGGGTTTTGGGGTTTTGGGG